CATCCATCTTGGGCAATATTGGTACTACACGGGAAACCCTCAACGAAAGCGACTGCGTGTGGTCTCAGGGCCACGATCTGGTCCACAATGGCCTTGTATATACGTTCGCGTTGCTGACTGCCAGCAACTTTTCCGAATTTGTTGTTGTATCGCCTGGTTGTAAGCCATGGCGCCTGCACGTCATAAGCACTCGGAGCCGGATGAACACAGATTGCTGCCACGACCTACGACGCCACCGTTCTGGCAGCGCGTCTACTGTAGACGCAAACAAATAAAGATACCGAAACCAACTTTGACGGCATGACTGCTGGAGGCACTGGCAACGAAATCGCTGCTGAAATCGAAGATGATTCTGGTCAGGCCTTTCTCTCGCTGAGTTGCACTCCTACAACAGGGAAGTAGCATATTAAAATCTCCTCCAACACAGATGTCATGCCCAGGTTGAATAATCGATCGATGCTGGCATGCATGCCGCCCTTGTGATATCATACGAAGAAACGCCAGACACATATGATCTCCACTATGGGCTGAATCTTCACAGCAACCCACGCGGTTGAATTCAAATACGTATGGAGGTCGCGGTCGAATTCGCGAATGTTGCTGATTGATTCAAGCTCCAGCTAACGGGGGACTGACTTCTGGTGTCAGGACCTGAATTGATCGGAACCCGCTTGGAATTCGCCGCCCCCTCAAGAAACGTAAAAGAGAACCTGTCTCATCTAAACCACTACACGGTTGCCTTGGATTTCGTGGGATGGCTTGAAGCAAAGGGGGGCGCACAGAGAAATTCGCACGGGCGAATGAAAAGTTCCTGGCGCAGGAGCGGCATCATGAACCAGGCTGGGCCCCGGCGGGCGTGGCGCCCCATACCAGATAGCATCAAACGCCTCGACGGGAAGCGCATCTGGCCACTGCCGCCGCCCTTTCGGGAGCGGCCAAGAGGGGGATGTCCAAGAGGGGGGGGTGCAAATCATGACCGGCGGCATGTGCTCGGCCCAGCGGGGGGTCTGGGACGTAATAGAATAAGAAGAGGCGCCATGAAATCTGGGGAAATATCATGGCCCCCGCCATGATATCCACCCCCCCTCTAGTCATCACCCCCCTCTTTTCTGCCCCCGACCCTTGCGAGCACCCGGGTCTGGCTGCCGCCTCTCGCCTCTCTCGCCGCCGCCCGCTCGCGGGGGAGAGCCCAGCAATCTCTCCGCGCCTCGCGGGCCGCGCACCAGGGCGGGCCGGCGCAGAGCGGCGAGGCCGCGCGCCCCGGCAGTGTTGCTTGCAACGACGGTCAGAATCGCGCGCGCCCGCCGCCGGGAGCAGCGGGGCGGTATCGGCGAACGTTGCATGATGCTCTCGCACAGCTGTGCTCCAGAGCTCGGACCTCTTTATTGTCGCCGTCTTCGTTCGTTCGTTCGTCGTTCGTCCTCCCCCCTCCCCCCGGCCACGGAAGGATAATCCTGGAGGAAGGAGGCGAACGCCTCCTGTACCTCGCAGCTCCTTGGTGCAAAAGCCGGGGCACGCGTGCCTTTTGATTTAAAAGGCCCCCCCTCCGTTGCCTGACAGGGCAGGGATTTTCCCCTGCCCGGTGCGCGCGGCCCACGCGGGCAAAAAAGGAATGCGGGATTCTCGCGAAACAAAATCCTGGCCAAGGCATGGGGAAGAACAGAATCGTTCGCACAAGGAATGATTATGTGTCAGCCATTGTTTTTCCTTGGCGGGGGGGCGCTCGAGGAGGGAAGAAAAACGGACAAATAATTAAAGCATTCGGATTATTGTCGAACCGATGTAAAACCAAAGCGCTGACATTTCCTTTGGGGAAATCCTGAAGAGGAAACTGTAAGGAAAAATGCGAGCCCCTGCGGGCGGAGAAACCGATGAAAAAACACGACAGAACACCACTCGGACCGCGCTCTGCAATCCCTGTGCAGATTTCCCTCGGAATTGGGGTCAATGCGGACAAGGGCAAAGTTCATCTCCCGAGCGGCATCCCCTTGCGGTCATGACCACTGCCAGCGTTTGCGAAACCGCAATCCACCCAATGCCAGAAGCGGAAAAGGCGTCGATATATCCAGCATCCCCTTATGGTAGAGAGCAACGCGTTGGCTGTTCACGAGGTCAGGGAATTACGAATAAATCATCCGACTTGCGTTGCTGGTGATGTCGGGTGCGTTGCTGCGTTGCCATCTGGTGACGCATGTAAACACAATGGAAATCAACGAGAGCGGTTCCCCGTAGAGTCTATTGAACATCGCATCTCAACTGCCGCATGTAGTTACGAAATAATGCGGGAACCAATATACTACTCACTGACCCCTAGAAGTGTGACCCCCATTAGCAGGCGAATGAAGATTGTGAGCAACGAGTAACTGCTACCATTGCTGGATTAAAGCGGACTTGTGTTGAATCGCGTCGACCAAGCGCACCCAAGACACGCGAACCGACTTTGGAATGCGTCCAAATGTCTTGACTTCGCGTTCGAAACTCTGTGTATGATGCTGCACGGTTTGGTTGTTAAGGGTCCATGCGATTTCCTTAAAGCGCTTCCTTCTTTTCACGATCACCATCAGAATCGCTGTCGCATTTGTCACGTAAGCACCCGAACTTGTCAAACTCCTGGTGCCCGATGGAATTCCCAACGAATGCTGCTGATGATTTTGAGCCTCGCGTAATGTTTGAGACCCTACTGAGGCCATCTGACACAACAGCAGTAACGGAGATGTGCTTCACTGGTCGGAAGAAGTATACTCGGTGAGTCCGCTTGGGCAACCAATGCAATTAGACAATTCTGCGCGGATGGATAATGCGATCTGAAGCTCGGGTACGTGAGCCAAAATGGCCACGGACCTCGGCGTGTCCCCTTGTGGAAGGCATGTTGGGAGCCTCTTGGGCTGTCGGTGGGGCCTCTGGGGCTGTCTGGGAGGCCTCCGGGGCAGCCCCAGGGTCGCCTGGGGAGCCTTCTTGGGGCCTCGCGAGGCCGTGCGGGCCTGGGGCGATCTCGGGAGCCGACGTGGAACATGCCGAAGCTCGGAGGAGCGAAAACGTGGAACCGCTCGCAGAGAGCCCCAGCGACACCTTACCTTTGCCTGCGTCTGGAGGCTCCTTCAGAGCCCCGGTGGGGCTCTCTTGGAACGTGTGGTGGCACTCCTGGGCCCGGGCGAGGCCATCTTGGGCCGACGTCTTGGGGCCATCTCGGGTTGAGGGCCTCTTGGAGGCCCCTTGGGTTCTCTTGCGCCATCTGGATCAGCTGCGGTCGTTTTTTGGATGGCCCTGGAGCCTGGAACAAAGAGAGCCTCCGCCTCAGAGCTTTCAGTACTTTGGAGGCCTGAGGTTGCGACGCCTGGATCCTTAGAGGATGAAGCATTGGCACAAGCAAAATTCATTCTGCGCGGATTTCTTGGGTCGGCGCTGGACCCCCTTCTCTGGCAAGCGGAGCGCGCCAGGGGCGGCGCCATAGGCGCCGCCAGGAAACCCGCGCCGAACGAGTGTTGCTATATACCTAATGCTCATGCCATTATGTTGCTCCTCTGGTGGCGAAGCCTCGCCCCTCGCCCCCGCGGCAATGCCTTGCCTCCACACAGGCCTCCGACAGCTAAAGGTCATGCAGTTCGTCTCGATAATCCGCACATGCTGGGGAGGATTAATAGGGGTACCGATGCAGCTGCTCCCCGGACGTCTCCCAGGTGCACGCTGCCCAGCAGTTCGAGGAGAACCCCGCCGTAGCGATACGAGAGGGCGCTCAAGGGCGAGCAGAGGTATATCGACATCTCTTTGCGCCCTCTGACTGGCCTGCTTCTTGGTTCCCCGGCGGCGGTCGAGGAACCACACACTGCACAAACAGACACTGTCGGACGTCCGCGTGGATGTCCTGGATCGGTGCTGGAACCACCTGGCGGCGCCTCCAGCGCGCCAGGGAATGCCAGCACAGATCCGAGAAATCCACGCGGACCTCGCACAGTTTGATAAGGAATCGAACTCATACACCGACGCTTCTTCCGGCCCTGCGTTAGACTTCGCACAAGAACGCGGATCCTGGTGTATACGGGACCCTGGTGTATACATGTTTCGTTGTTCCCCTTGGAAAACGGGGGAAAAGTATACACCACACCACCCCGACGTCGCCCCCGACCCTCAAAAAGTCGTGGGATTGAAAAAATAACCCGCCACTGGTATTGTATCTGTTCCAGTTTCCGATTTGAGTTTTTCGGTCATTCTTTGTTCTTTGGTTCGTCGACCCCCAGTGGTCTGGACACCTACCCTCGGGCCGGCGCTGCATCCCGAATTTGGGGATCTGCTGACCCGGGTCAATCCAGGCCCGGGTCAGTCAGGCCTTGTAGACTCCTGCAAGATCTCGCAGGATACTGCACCCAAACCCGGGTCAATGCGAAGGATCCTGCAGGATCCTGCACCCAAACCCGGGTCAGTGCGCCCCTGGCCCTGCAAGATCCTGCAAGATCCTGCGCTCTGACTGACCCCCGTTTGCACTCACCCGCGTCTCCTGAACCCCGACGAACCTTTTTGTTGACAGCTCTGGGCCCGTTGAGGCCATCGAGAATCCAGAAATGTCAAAAAATCGGCGGCCCATGTTTTCGGAGCCTCGGATCTCGTAAAGAGGGCCCCCGGACACACAAATAAGCAGACACGAATCCCAGGACCCCCCGTATTTCCTCAGCTATTCTGGATGTTCGACTTTCCCCCCCCCCCCCCTCCCTTCCCATATTTTCCCAGATCTTCCTGGGAGTCGACGATTCATGACGTCTGTCTGTTTGATGAGCCTGTTTTCCAACACCACCACCACCATAATTTTCAGGGGGAGGGGGTCCTCCTCCTCCTCCTCCTCCTCCTCCTCCTCCTCCTCCTCCTCCTCTCCTCTTCGTCCTCCTCCTCCTCCTCCTCGTCCTCGTCCTCCTCCGTACCCCCGCCCCAACTTATGGTGGTGGTGGCGGGCAACAGGCCCATAATCTGTTGTTACCCCCCCTGCTCTCTTGGCTCCCCCGCGGCGACGCCTCGCCCAGGCCGCCCAGCGCCCGAGCCGCGGACCTGCGGACGTCCCGGTCGTCGTCCCCCAGCCTCCCCGCGAGCTCCCGCGCGCACGGCCCCGCGCTGGGGCCCAGGGCGCCCAGCGCCCGCACAGCCGCGAGCCGCACCTCGTCGTCGTGGTCGTCGTCGTCGTCGTCGTGGTCGTCGTCGTCGTCGTCGTCGTGGTCGTCAACGTCGTCGAGCGTCGAGCGTCGTCGTCGTCGAGCGTCGTCGTCGAGCGTCGTCGCCGAGCGGCGAGCGTCGTCGAGCGTCGAGCGTCGCCGAGTGACGCCGCCACCGCGAGCCCCCGCCCACGGAGGAGCCGGAGTGCGCTTCTGCGCGCGCGCGTGCCCGCGGAGCGAGCAGGCGAAGCTGGCGGGGTCCCCCACGTCCGCGTCCTCGCCCTCCAACTCCTCGTCCTCCTCGTCCTCCTCGTCCTCCTCGTCCTCCTCGTCCTCCTCCTCCTCCTCGTCCTCCTCCTCCTCCTCCTCCTCCTCCTCCTCCTCCTCCTCTTGTAACTTTAATTGGGTATGTTACGCACGACGATAGCGACGAAAGGTAAGAGTGCGGTACTCGCCGCCTGTCGTCAGCTTATAATACTTGGGCCAAACAGCGATGGAGCTCTCATTCACTGCAGGCCTTCATTCTAACACCCCACCTCGTCCACGGAAGTGGTCACACAAACTGAAATATAAATCAACGGATGGGATTAACCCTCTAGAAGTCCGCGTCCTGCCCGTTAGTGGATTGAGCCGTCGTTAATCAAGGTCTCCAGGCCGTTCACTTTTTACGCAAGCTAGTTCACCCCAGAGCTGTTAGACCACAAACTAAGACGGCCCGAGAGGACCCGAAGACGGCCCAACAGGGCCCCAAGGGACTCCGAAGACTGCCCCAGAGGAGCCCAAGGCAGCCCTAAGACAGCCCATGAGGTCTCCTCAAGAAGTGCGGACGAGAGGCGCCACACGAGACGGCCTTCCTGGTGGTAATTACTCGACCGGTCCCCACGCGGACTGCTCTGCTGGCACGGACGGTCCCCGCGCAAGCTGCTTTGCCGGCACGGTGGCAGGTTGGTCACCCGCACCTGTCGGGTCGGGCAAAAGGGGGGGATAGCAAAGAGGGGGTTTGAGAATCAGCTCACGTAGCTGATTTTCCCGGCGCCTCCCGGCGCCGGAGGCGGCCATGTATCGAGAAATGGCCCCCTCGTGAGGCCGAAACCAGCTGCATGCAGCAAATTTCGTAACCCCCCCTTTCCCAATCCCCCCCTTTCGTCCGGCCCGAACCTGGATATCCGCAGCCGTGCCGCCAGGCACTGAGCGGAGGGCCGTCAGATCCTGTGGAGATCTTTGCACTCTGCACTGCAAGCTGGACGTTTCGTGTGCGCCAGACGCTCCGCCTTCTGGGCAGCTGGCCGGGGCAGGGCCGGCCCGGAATGCCAACAGCGCTGGAACACCAGGCCGCCAGGAGACGGAGAGCACACCTGTCAGGGGCAGCCCGTGCTCCGAACATGCGAGCCGTCGGCTTCTTCGTTGTGCGCTGCACTGGTGGCACGGCATGCCCCCCCGTGCTCCAAACATGCGAGCTGTCGCCTTCTTCGTTGTGCGCTGCACTGGCGGCACAGCATCCCCCCCCATACCCCTCCCCTGGAACCGGGACACACACCCCTCCGAAGATCCCCCCCCATCTCTGGAACTGGAACGGGGACCCCTCCGGGCGAGCACCCCCCGCCCCTCCCGAGAGTCGGGGGAGGAGGGATTCGGGTCCCCCTCCCCCGCTGCCGGCAGACGAAGTCGACGCCGTCGTCGTCGTCGTTCGTCAGGACGGGCGTCGTCGCCGTCGCCATCACCGCGGCCCCGCCGCCGCCGCCGTGGCCGTGGCCGTGGCCGTGGTCGTGGTCGTGGTCGTGGTCGTGGTCGTGGTCGTGGTCGTGGTCGCCGTGGGCGGGTCGGGCGGGCGGGCGGACGGGACAGGTCGTCGTCGCCGTGGGCGAGTCGGTCGGGCGTGCGAGCGGGGCACGTGGTCGTCGTTTCTGTCGTCTCCGTCCTCGTCTTTGCTTTCTTCTAGGGAACCGAACTCTCTACACCGATGCCTTTTTCCGGTCCCGCACTGGGATTCGCACAAGAAAACGGATTCTGGTGTATACGGCATCCTGGTGTATACATTTTTTGTTGTTTCACGAGAAACTGGGGAAAACAGTATACACCACACCACCCCGACGTCGTCCCCGACCCTGAAGAACTCCTGGGATTCAAAAGCAGCCCGCCACTGGTAGTGTATACGTTCCAGTTTCCGATCTTCGTGTTCGTCTCCGTCTTCGTCGTCGTGGGCGGAATGCTGCGCTGGCGGGACACGTCATCGTCGTCGTCCTCCCTCTCGTTTACTCTCTCCGGGAGGGATGGGTGGGATTCCAGCCCCTCCCCCCTCTCGACTTGCACTCTGGAGAGGGAGGGGGGGGAGGTGAACGATGGTTCGACCTACCACCCTCCAACTTTTGAGGGGGGGTGGGGAAGGACGGGTAAATATGCCCCCCCCTGCGACTTCCTCCCACCGTACTGTGAAGACGCCTTTCCCGGTATGAAGGGGGCCTGACATGCGACACACAGGACACGAGGGCTCCCTTTACTTCGCAATGTAGACCTGCTATTCCGAACCGGTGAATAGTTTCGACGGGTTTTCACATAATCTGACGCCACAGACAGGTTTCCAAGATGTTCCAAGAGGCCCCCAGGACAGCCCCGAGAGGCCCACGATGAGCCACCTAAGAGGCCCCCCAATAAGTCCTCCAAGGGGCGTCCAAGATGCCCCCAAGAGCATCCCACGAGGCCCCACAATAATCTTTCAAGAGGCCCCTCAAGAGACCCCAAGTGGCCTTTGTCCATGACCCACGTATGATGACGGGATGGGCCGATGGGCACGAGGCACCTCCTCCTTCTATCTCGTCCTTGCCGCCCTCCTCATCGTGTACAGTGGAAGCCAGTCCACAAGAAACCCAACCCTGAGAAACCCAAGAAACCCAGGGAACCCTGGAGGCACCCAGGGTGTTTCTTGGCATGGCCCCCCACTGTATGGGGAGCATGCCGATGCAAACCAGACCACATCATCTACCGCAGAGCAGACTCTCTGAAAGAGAGAGAGGGCGCGAACTCAGCTGTTGACACACGCTGGTGGCTTTTCTTACTTGTTCAAGTTGTCATGTTTCCGCTGTTTACTCGACAAAAAACATTCAAAACGCAGCAAGCCAGAATGTGAACGTCAGGCGAGCGGCATTGTTACAGTCGGGCCGCTGAAAGAAGGAACGCTATGCAAGGAACGAAGCCCCTTTTTGGCACTGAAAGCGCCTCTGTGCCCGAGGAGGGCAAGAGGAACAGCAAACGAGGAACCAAAGGACCATCGAGCCCCTTCCGAATCCAAATAGTGCCCTACTTCGGCGTCGTGGGTGCATCAGCGCACTAAGAACGAAATCAAGAACAAGAGCAAGAAGGCCACGGGACGATCCTGGACCTGAAAGCGTGAGAATGACGGCGCCCAACACGGAAGGAATACGTCGATGTTGAACATGAAACAGGAAGCGTCCCCAACGTTTCTAAGATCATACGAAGGTGCGAAGCGGAGCCGTCGCTCGGACGTCGATTTCGCGTGCATTGTTCGGTTTCGTGCGTTTTTGTTTTGCTCGATGGTCCAGGATTGTCCTCGATGGTTCTCGCCGAGAAAGAATGTACACGTCCCCTCAAATGCATGATTGGCTCTGCGCGGTCGACCACCACAAGTGTGAATAAGTCACGCTTCGATACCATCTTGCTGATTCTTGCGAATCGGCGCTGGTCGACGATAGTCGACGCGAAATCGACGCTTCTTTCTCATAGATTACCAGACGCCAGCGAACGCCAATGCACTGGAAAGACAGACTGCCGAGGACATGTCAGGCTCCTCTGACTTGCTACCACAAAAATCACGCTGCCTCGTTTTTGTCAGGGGGGGACGTCGCGCGAAACTGTGCCCGAAACCCTGCCCGAGTGTGGCCGACACCCGCGCCCGCTTCTGTCTGAACGCGCCAAAGCGTGACCATAGTGCTTGTTTTAAGGAGCCAAACTCTATACATTGTCTGGCCTCGCACTGATCGCACAAGAAAGTGGATCCTGGTGTATACGGGATCCTGGTGTATGCATTCTTTGTTGTTTCCCCGGGAACACGGGGAACAACAAGTAAACACCACCCCACCCCGACGTCGTCCCCGACTCAGAAACAAGTCCTGGGATTGAAAAGCCGCCCGCCACTGATAATGTATATGCTCCAGTTCCCGATGTTCCGGCATCAACACGATTTCCATCGCACTTTCGGTACCATTGCGTTTTCGGTCACAATTTCGGGGACGTTTTCGATCACCGATATTTCGGTTACATGCCCTGTCGGCTGGTAAGAACCGGGCGCCATGAAATATGGGCTCTGCGCCATCACGGAGCTTGCCAAAACAAGAAAACATGCCAAGAACAACTGACGGACTCGTCCCGCTTTCTGCAGCTTCGGAAGCGGAAGTGCGATGTCAAGAAACGCCAGATACCGCAGATGATGTGGCTGGGGCTGGGTTCAGGCCAGCTCCCACGACCCTGCGCCAGGCCCTTGCAGCAGCACGTGGACCACGCCCCGACGCACGGCAGACAAATAATCGAGCTGAGATGTGGAGCTTCCTCAGTGCGTTGAAAAACTCAGTTGGGCCGATTCTAGACCATCTCCGAAGCCTTGCGCAACGGATGGAGGGCCACCACATGCACATGTACATCCACATGTATCTATATATATGTATATATAGATGTGTACACATGTACACAGCAAGATATGCGACAAGGCAAGAGGGACGTCTGGAGATTGATCGAGCATGTACCATTGGAGCCTGGAGGCCCAGCTACGGATGTGGAGCTCAAGCATTAGCAGAGCCATCAGAGTTGGGAGGAATCAGGAGTTCGAGGTGCTCCCAGGTATGCTTTGCAAGGTCATCAAAGGGTGACGAAAAAGCCGATCTGACCGCGACAGAACACCATATCCTCGATGCCCTATTGCAAGTTCGTGAAAACGGGTCAGGCAACCGCACAATTAGTCCGCCAGTATATTATTCAAGCAACGTTGCACGCGATGGAGAGAAAACCACCCATGCCTTGGGCTGAAAAAAAATAGCCTGCTAGTAAAAGCAAACGCAAACAAGGTACCTGCCACCACGATGGACCAGCTCGCCGCTGCTGGCAGGCGGCCGCGAAAATCTTGAAAACGATGGCGAGGTGGTGATTGCGAGTAACATGTACGTAAGACCCTGCGAGTTGTGACCAGACCTTCAGCCTCAAAGGACCCTGTGACCACCGCGCCCACATAATGACTTGGAGCAGGCATGCGCATGGTTACTCATGTTGGTGCTGTGAAGGAGTGGCGCAACAATATCTAAGTGAAAAATTGAGCGAGCCCTACAAGGGCCCACCACCAGATAAATCAAGGGCTCAGTATGCCGTCCGAAGTCTACATAACAATATCTATATATGTATAGATATATAACGGCGCCGACACCGTCCTCCAGCTCAAGTATTCATGTTGTGGTGGTGGCGCCGCTGTTCACCGCCCAGACGGCAAAACCTGGTGTCTTGTTTACGCACTGGGGTACTTGAGTTGCGCAGTCTTCTCACGAAGTGGGCGATCTGTGCTGCGCAGTCTGCTCAATGGCGCAGCGGGTGAGGTGTGTTGCGCAGTCTTCTCTCAAAGCGGGTGATCTGTGCTGCACGGCCTGCGTACAAAGTGGGTGCCTTGTGCTGCAGCCTTCGACCCCCCGTATGTGCCTCCTCCTCCTCCTTCTCCTCCTCCTTCTCCTCCTCCTTCTCCTCCTCCTTCTCCTCCTCCTACTCCTCCTCCTCCTCCTGGGGGTACACCGGTTCACTCCGAGGCTTACTCTAAGCTCTAAGTATTGTCCAAAAGCCTGCAGAAGAGACCACACAACGGCGCCGACACCTCCCTCCAACGCACGTGCCTCTTCTGTGGCTGTTGCGCCACCGTTCACTGCTCTCGGGGGCGCACAAACATGGATTAGCGATCCATGGATTTGGCGCGCGGTCGCCAAATCCATGGATCGGGGGAGGTGCCCTCCCCCAAAATGCGGCTGGTGTCGCCTCACTCGGCGGCGGACATCCGCGATGTCCCATGGAAACGTGACCCGCCGCTAATCCACGCCCCCTTGATCCACATTTGTGATCGCCTGATTATGCGGCTGTTGCGAAGCCGATCGCTGTTCAGATCACCTGGGCTTAGGTCGGGCATGTCCCCCTCCGGGCGGATTTTGGACGAACAATGAAAAAATACCCCAACAATGCTCAAACATACTAGACAAATAATCGAAACATCGTCCCAATACTATTTGTTTGACTAGTTGTGCACATTCCTCCTGTAGAGTGATATGTTTGGATATTCGTATGTTTGAATTGTTTGATTGTTGTTTTGCTAATTTTTGATTATTATTGCATATTCCTCCTGTGGAGGGACACGCCCGACTTAATGCTATCCGCCGACCTGTGCACACTGAGGCCGCGCCCCCCCCCCTCGCTCCTGCCCCTCTCTTGCCGGTCGCCTCGCCCTCCGCTCCCCAGGGATCGCCGACCCGAAGGAGAACCCTGAGGAAAGTCCCCCCTCCTTCTCCTCCCCCCTCCTCCCTGCTCCCCCTCCTCCCTGCTCCCCCCCCCTCCTCCTGCTCCTCCTGCTCCTCCTGCTCCTCCTGCTCCTCCTCCTCCTCCTCCCAGAATCGGGGGGCTTAGGCTTTGCATGTATGTTGAGTCCTCTCGGGCCTGGGCCACTCCTGGAAGCACCCGAGGAGCGGCGAGCTCGGCTCCAGAACCGAGGGCGTTCTGGCTTTGCGCGTCTCCTGAGCCCTCTGTGGCCTGGACCACTTCTGGCACCACCCTCGTCTTCGTCACGTGTTCCACGAATTCCGAACCCTAGTCCCGCCGCCCATCGAATCGCCAGAATTCGGCGGCGAGCCAATGGGGGGCAGTGAGACGGAGAAGGCTCTCTCAGAAGGCTCGGAAGTCCCCCGGCCTTCTGAGACATGTTCTGAGCCTTTCCCGAAGACGCAGACAACCTCTCGGAAGGCCCGAGGGCCTCCGAGAAGCCCCGACACCTTCTGAGAAGGCCTCCTCCTTTTCACTCCCCCCCTCGCTCGCGGCCGACCCGTACCGTACCCCCACCGCACATCGAGTTGCCCGAATCGCGGATCGGCGAGGGTGGGGTTCGGTTTCCGCCGCCGCGCCGCCGCCGCCGAGCCGCCGCCGGTCGGGCCAGAGACCAGCACGCGGCCCGGCGGGCAGGCCTCCGCTGGACCGAATCGCGAGGCCGGATCGGGTCGGAAACGGATCGCATGGCCAGGGAATCGTCCGCAGCCAGGTCGAGATCGCATCGCCGCGCCGGGCTCCGACTGGCACTGACGGGCGACGGTGAGGAGGATATGACGCTGCCTGGCGCCGCCG